AACCTGACAAAGTGGGGGTGGGGGTGGGGAATTAGATGTATGTGGTAGCCTTCAAATAATCTTATTTTCTTGCTCATATTTAATTTGAGAATTTGTATGTATCTTTGTTACTTGAAAGCTAAAAGTAAGAAGTGTTAAGTCAAGATAAAACCAAGCTAAGGTTGGAATTCAAATGTTTTGATAATAGGCTAATATAAGATGTTAATTTATTTTCTTCTTGCATGAAATTTTCAAAACTTTGAAAAATAAGCCTATAAAATGTAGTAATTACTCCTTAATTTTTCTAAGTCCAAGGTTTTGATTCAACCAAAAGAATTAACTTGATTTATATGATCGCCAAGACCTTCAGTAAGGGGTAGTTAAAACTTTTAACTTAAGAAGCACTAGAAAATTTGAATTTTTAATTCTTCAAAAAAATGAGAAGAAAAAAAAAGCAAAAGAAAAAAATAAGAAAAAATTTATTGCGCGACAAATGCTAAAAGTAAAAGAGTTGAATGAAAAATCAAAGCGAGGAGAAGCATGTGGTTAAATGTCGAAGTAGTCCAACTTCAATTTTCTAGCTGCCACTTAATTAAAAAGATTTAATCTCTAACTTAATGAAATTCGGGTATCCTCTAAAATCAGATAGAACCAGGGCTTAGCCTATTCTTGAATATAATTTAGGGAGTTGAAAAACTTGTGGAAGGATGAAAAATATTATAGCCACCCAGATCAATTGAATTTTGAGGATTTGTGTTTGGAAGGAAAAGATTAAAGAAAGGTTGAAGTTATTGCCATGGCTTTAACGAATTCATACCCATGCTAACAAAAGGTAAAGATATGCCCATGAACGGTCATTTGTTATTCTCCAAGTTTGAGCTTAGTGATAGGATTACTTCATGGCAAGTAATAGGTAAGTGTGGGATTAGATGTCAGTGAAATATGTGATATATTCCAGGCATGTTTACCCATGTTTTTACATCGTTTATGTTGAAATTATGCTTAAGAAATATATTTTTGTCTTATTTACGCAGGTAAAAGGTTAGACATAGTTTTAGATTGAAAAAAGATAAATTTCCGAAGTTAAGGGCAATATTCGACCCAACGCACCCATATCAAAAACAAGGCACAACCATGATGCCTTAAAGCACTGTGACCAACTTTAGAGCACGACCACGCTCCTTCTTCCCACATCTGTTGCGCCCACACATGCATCACGGAGCCCCCCTAGCCCAACTTCAGCACACCCTTGCCATCATTCCGGTGGACCAGGGCCAGACTCGCTAAACTAATATGAGGAATAATTTTCTTGCCTTTGACGAGCTTCGCATATATATATTTTTATGGGAACAAATCAAGGGCATCATGGACTGCTGGATGTTGTAAAAAAGAAGAGATTTTCGCCAGAGAGAGTTCTTCCCTTGGGTTTTCTTCCTTTCCTTGGATTAAAACATGTAGGGGTTGGTTTTACATCTTCTTCCTCTTTTTTCTGGTTTTTTCTTTGAGAGTTTTGAATGGGAGAGAGAAAGAGAGATCTCTATCTTGGTGGAGAGAGCAAATCTTGATTACAAGTTTCACACCTTTTTGTTTCTTGCAATGATGATCCGCATGGCTTTTATGTCTAAAATTCCCTTTACTTGCATGGCTAAATTCACTTTCGTCTCTCTATGATATAGGGTTAGTAGATTTATGATGATTTTTTTGAGATATTTTTCATGTAGCATTTTTTCATGCTTTCATGAACTTATGTCTTTGGTTAAACTTTTTGATTTCATTTACTCCTAATTTGTCCAATTAGGATGTTAAAAGCTTTCATTATTTGTGACATTGTCGGTCTCCAATTGGAACTATGTCAGTTGCCTTTGAATATAGTTTAATTTAATATGAATATAATTTTGATTTTGAAAAGTTTTTTAATTTAAAAAAAAATAAGACCAATGAGATCTCATATATTTAATAGTTTAAGTAATTGAGCAGAATCCTACAAGCAATACGCTCATTCCAAGAGATTAACATATTACTTGAAAAATGATGTTCGATTATATAAACTAAAGAATTTATCTCCTACAAGCAATACGCTCATTCCAAGAGATTAACACATTACTTGAAAAATGATGCTCGATTATATAAACTAAAGAATTTATGACATCTGTTTGGTCTGCAAAACCTTTATGTGTGACTGATAGTTCCTCTACATAATATTAAATATTAGATAGGGTTTATTTTACCTGAGTTCTTAATTCTCTATAGAGTCAAACCCCTATAGTTAATTACATCTCAAATGAACGAAGTCACTTAAAAAAGCTCTCGATTAAAATCAGTAATTTTGTCTTCAAGAATTCAAAGTTTAGTTTTCAAAGTTTGACACAAAAAAATAAAGTAGGAATGGCTCCAAATAGAAGCAGTTATTTTTGGAGACCAAAGAGGTGAAAGATAGGGGATGTCATAGATTTTGAGGAGAACCTCAATGACTTTCCAAACTATCATATTTTTTGGTTTTACATCTTCGAAGTGATATTAAGTGTTCACTTTTGCCAATTTATTATGTAAGGCTTACACTTGCATAATACATAATTATGCAGATAGCCTAAGAAGATAGAAGGATTTACATCGTATTGAACGACGACCTCGAAGTCTTAAAGAAGGTTAGGACTTATATTGTGTAACATGATTGTGCAGGAGCCTAAAATGGTGTGAGGATTAACGTTGTGATAGCAGACAACCTCGAAGTTCTATATATTATGTTGTTTAAAGCAAAAAAAACATTTTATTAAGGTAGATCCGCTTCATTTTGTGTCTTGATCATCATCTGAAGTTGTCGTCATCTGCTCAAAAAGCTTGTTCCGAGTTTCTCATCGTGACGGTTTTGGGTTTAGGATTTATTTGTGAGCATGCAATTAATGTTGAGTCTTATGGTCGTCGTAGGGATCCACCTAGCATGTATCCTATTCTGTCTACCCTAGGAATCTTTGCAAATACAATAAATTAAATATGTTATAAAATGCAGTAAAGGTTAGTGCAATAAAAATGAAAGAAGTAGTGCTTACCTGTTGTAACTGTCGTTGCTGCAATGTTAGCATTGTAAAAATAACACAATAATACACAAGGTATTAAACAAAGTGCAGAGAAGACGCAAGCATATAGTACAATGTAAATGCATGTATAGTAGATCAAGGTCAGGTGTAAGAATTTAAGTTATTAAGGGAGCTCAGAAGCAGGACCGAAACCCTCACAATTCTCAAAGGACTTCACAGGCAAATTATCAACATCATGTACGTGAAACCTAACATAAGGTAAAAAGCTACCGGTCCTCAATCTGATCTACATAACTGATACATGTACTTATTAAAAGTAACATTTTATAAAGGAATTTCAATGTCATGTAGATAAAAACTATAGGTTTATATAATTATATGGGGCTTCATTCAAAAAATACATTTTTACTTATTGTGTCTATTTTAAAAATTGGACATTCATGAGTCAATCACACAAACAATCTAAGACTATGACTACTGACTACCGATGAAAGTAACCACTACTTTCTCCATGAAATACCAAATGATTTAGGATTTAAATAATATAATTTAAAAAAAAAAATTTTATAACTTGTTGACTTACTTTTCCACCACTTACATCACACACCAGGCATAACCGCAAGTGACCGTTACTTTTGCCATGTATGCAATGGCCCCTAATTTTTATCAATTTTATATTCTTAAAATAGTCTCATAATATTATCAGAATAACGTAACATATATTAAAAAAAACATATAAACAACTTTAAAAGATATTTTTATTTGGAAAACATTCCATCAACTTAAATTTATACTACATCCACCAAATGCCAAAAAAAAAAAAAACATTAAATTTTACAGCGTTATTATAATAAATATACACAATTAAGAAATTGAGTCATCATTTTTTTTCTCTTTTTACAAAATCGATGAATAGATTTCACTAGAAAGGACAACTTAAAACCACACTAAAGAATTTTATTTTTGACTAACTTAAATGTGTCATTGGGATGAAAACTTTAGCTGACTTATTATTCTCTTCATAGACGTCTGATAAAATTGGTGTCATACCAAAAAGATTAGCAGTCCCTACGCAACAAAGATGCAAAGATTGATAGATGATCCAAAATTTTTCAAACGATAGCTCGCTCAAAAATTCAGATAAATTTACCCATCCTTCTCCCAATTCCTTTATATGTTGGGATAATTGATTTCAATTTCTTCTTCATTTGTCAGCTCAAAAAAAAAACATTAGAATAGTTAATATTTTATTTTTTTTTTAATTTTAAATATAAAAAAGAGAGTTAAAAGTTGACACAAAAAGTCCAATATGCAGTTCCCATTTGATAGTTAAATGGACCCAAACAATAAAACAATCCCTGACAAATAAAAGTAAAACGTTTACACAACTGAAAAAAAGAGGATTGAAATATTTTCACAGCAATATATATATATATATATATATAGATATATTGTTTGTTTTGGCAGATAACAAGGAGAAATAGATGCGCTACAAGAAAATAAAATAAAATTACCGAAACCTCCAAAAACTAGTCAATTCAGGCAGGCCCCGATTTAAGAAGATGCACCACTACGCAAAACCTGAGCTTTTTTTGGCTTTCTCGCGGCAATCTGAGTCTCCGGCTGCCACAGCCACAATCATAGCAAAACAGACTTGAAGATGAATGAAAAAAAACAGCTAAACAGACAGGAGAGGCATTTACAGACATACAATTCAATTCCTATGCACTTACATATCTAACACCTCAAGTTTATTTTTTTACATTTATGTCATCCAAATCTTTCATATCACATCAAATATGCTAGTATTTTGAACTTTTAAAAAGTTATACATAGGAATTATGCGATGGCAAAAGAGACTTAAAAGATGAATGAAATGAACTAAACAGACAGAAGAGGCATTTACATACAATTCAATTCGTATGTACTTAGATATTTAACACCTAAAATTTATTTTTTTACTTTCATGTCAATCAAATCTTTCATATCACATCAAATATGCCGGTATTTTGAACTTCTAAAAAGGTGCACATCTTTCCATGCATAATGGGGTATTATATATATATAAAAATTGAATTTTACGATTTAGATATGTAAACAAGTAGGAATTATGTAATATGTATAAAAAATCTTCCCAAACAAATATGAAGATTACCTCTTTCTTCACTGGCTCTTCCTTCTCAGACAAGATCAGTTCAATGTGGCAGGGGGAAGACATATAAGCTGTAAAAAAAAATGCTTATATGCATATGCATACATATATCACAGCAGGAAACTAAGAAGGCCAAATCGGGGAAAAAGCATACGGTTAATTCGGCCGTGAGCACGGTAAGTCCGGCGCCTCTGCTTCTGTGCTTGGTTGACCTGAATGTGAGAAATGTAGAGGGCATCCACATCCAGGCCTTTGACAACAGCATTGCTCTCAGCATTTTTAAGCAAATCCAATATGAACCTGGCGGATTTTACAGGCCAGCGACCCTGCCCGTTGGAATGGCGGGCCTTGGCTTGGGCGGTGCCCCCCCCCCGCCGCAGTACCTGCGAAAAGGGATAGCTTGCTTGTGGGCCATTACATCCTCCAGATACCGCTTAGCCTTAGCCAAGGGCAGCTTTCGGAGGGCATGGGCGGTTTCTCTGGTATTCTGTGGGTATAAAAGGTTAATCAAATCAGTGTATGGATGTTTGGTGGGGAAACTCTCATTTCAGAAGATAGGAAATATACGAGAAATTTTCAGAAATCATGATAGAGAAAACATCAGGAAATTTATACAACATAGTTATGTCATGCACTAAATAGTTGTACACCAGAAGCAGTCCAGCTCACTAAAAGTTGATATGGAACAAATCCCAAAAGAAATTTTAGCTGTCATGCATGGTTAAGGTGGCATATATCGAAAAATTCAGGCTTAGGTATAAAAATACATTGGAATTGAGTGGGTATGTAAATCTTCCATCATAGTTTTACACAAAAGGTCATGTTTATTTCAGAAAAATGTACATATTTTATTTTTTGAAACCATAAAAGATAATATGCTATAATGATTTGATTTATACTTCTGAATTAATTGTAAGTTAAAAAACTAGTTCAATAAAAATCAATACGAATCAAATTTTATAATGTGATTGCTCAACTAGCTTAATAGCAATGTTTTTAAAATCACGCTTCACGAGCAAAGAAATGTGAAGCCCGTACAACCATTTTGTAGAGGCACCAAAGTTGATTTGTAATTTTTAATTTTTTATTTATTGCAGTAAACTACTAAAATTGTTCAAAATTTTAATTTCAGTTCATTCTTATTGTTTGACTTCTTTAAGTCGTACTTTATATATGCATATTTTAATAGTTTTATATAACCTATAAGCGCTTTGGTTAACAAAACATCACTTGGCTAAGCGAGTTGAAGCAAAAATAAATCCGTGTGCATTGCGTTGTGCTTTGAAAACAGTGCTTCATAGAAGCCCATTTTTTTACAATGTAATGCATAGGTATAAATAACCATAGAACATTGAAAGTGCAAATAAAAGCAATAACAATCATTCTTTAGAATAATGATAAGTAAAATAAACAACAGAATTTTGAGTAGATAAAGATACTATGCCATAAAAATCATTTGGAGTGAATTAATTGAAAATTAAAATATGATTAATCTTATTTTAAAAAACTTGGTGCAGATTTTGAATCACTATTTGATGAACTGTATGACATTGATTATCAGCAACAATTCACCCAACAGTGAATTTAGTTTCCCTAGCCGAGGCCATAGAGATAACAGACCCCTGTTTTCCATTTTAGACTAACGCCCTATTTGAGAAAGTTTTCTGTCTGCTTTACTTTTCAGAATACAGTTCTGTTTGGGGAACTAATTTCTCGCAGCATTTAGAAATTGTTGTAGTAGAAAACTATTTTTTTCGGTCTGAGCTGTTAAAGTATGGTGACTGCTTGAAAATTGTGATCTAACTTTTTTAAAATAAAATAAATTTGTAATAGCCACCACAATTTTTAAAAAATAATTTATTCTACAGCAGTTTCACAGCTGCTTTTTTAAACAGCAGCAGCTGCCCCAAACAAACTAAATAAATCTAAGAGAATAAAAATCAATACAACCAATTTTGATGATGAAGCTGCTTAGCTAACTTCCTAGAAAAAAACCAATTCATTTTTAAAATATAAGTTAGAAAGTATAAACAATGACCATTAAGAAGCATAAACGTAAACAACTGTCGGTTAAATGATCACCATAAAATTTTGATTAGATAAATATATCATATCATACGAATGATTTGGTCAATAATTCAATTCACAAAATTTGAAAATGTAATGTTGATTTTACGATAAAAATTACGACAAAAATGTGTATCACTGTGTGCTGAATCATATGCCATTGATTATTTGACAATGGTTCAACCGATAACAATCAACATGAGGCAACGTGACAAAGACACAACACCCCTGCTTTTCTTTTCAGACTAAATAAACCTAGCAAGCTAGAATCAATAATTAGTTTTTTTTTTTTTTTTGTTGTGTAACGAAACTGAACAATTAGCTAGATAAAAATTCAATTTGCTTTTACAATATAAGATAAAAGTACAAAAAATAACATATTGTTTAGCATGTTGCTCAGCAAATGGTTAGCATCACCATATGAATGATTTGGTTTGTACTACAATAAATTCACAAAAAAAAATAAAAATTGACCTTGACCCTCTGATAAAAAAAGCATTGCAAATAATCTATATCATTATTTACTGAACCATATGTCATTGATTTCTGGCAATGGTTCACCCAATAATAATGAAGTTAGTCTCCCTAAAATTTACGAGAGGCCAGGTCATGCAGACAACAGACCCCTGCTTTTTCTCTTTAGGTTAAGTAGATATAACAAGATTGAAAACAAAGCATAAATAAATTTCCATGAAGCTACTCAGAGCTTCATAGAAACCAAAGATTTCTTACAATAAAAATTGAAAGTACAAAAAAATATATTCTTTAAAATGATGGCCAGGACAGGTCGCCCTATGATGATAGAAAACATTGCCAAAAATGTATATCATTATTTACTGAACCATATGTCATTGATTTTTGGCAATGGTTCACCCAATAATAATGAAGTTAGTCTCCCTAAAATTTACGAGAGGCCAGGTCATGCAGACAACAGACCCCTGCTTTTTCTCTTTAGGTTAAGTAGATATAACAAGATTGAAAACAAAGCATAAATAATTTTCCATGAAGCTAGTCAGCAAGCTTTATAGAAACCAAAGATTTCTTACAATAAAAATTGAAAGTATAAAAAAATATATTCTTTAAAATGATATGGCCGGGACAGGTCACCCTATGATAACAAAAAAGCATTGCCAATAATGTATATCATTATTTACTGAACCAAATGTCATTGATTTTTTGGCAATGGTTCACCCAATAATAATGAAGTTAGTTTCCCTAAAGTTTACGAGATGCCAGATCATACAGACACCAGACGCCTTCTTTTCTCTTGAGGTTAAGTAAATAAAGGCAGATAGAAATCAAAGCATAAAAAATTTGTCATGACTCTACTCAGCAAGCCTCATAGAAAACCAAAGATTTCTTAAAGTAAAAATTGAGATTATAAGATAAGGCATTCATTAAAAAGATGGCCCGGGCAGGTCACCATGATAACAATAAGGGTCTGCAAAATGATAAATCAGCAATGATACACGTTCAAGAAAACCAAATAAAATCCACTCAATCATTCTTTAGAATGATGATCAGAACAAAAGCCACTTACAAAAATCCTACTTCAAGAATCAAATAACCCTAAAATACCTAAAAATAAATCAAAAAACCAACAAACAAATGCTAAGATGCAACAATAGAATGTATAAAACTCAATTAACCAAAAATGTGTGTACAAACAAACTTCTTGCACAACTTAAAAAAAGGTAAAAAGATTCAACTCACAATGCAAAATTTTAACAAGTTCACACCTAATTTCAAAGATATAAGCAACCCCTTATTTTGGTTAGGGTTAAGATCTTGCTAAAAAATCAAAAAACAATTAATCCATTACAAAATGTGAAAATTTGGGAAATTTCACAGCTATGAAAAAAGAAACAGCAAGCCATAATTCTGTTTAGGTTAAAATCTCGCCCAAAACTCACAAAACAATCACTCCATCACAAAATAAATGCCTTATTTGCAATCTAAACCACTACTAAGCGCTATACAACAACCATAACCTGACAAATTAATGGAGAGAAAATAGCCAGCAATAAGTGATGACCTTCACAAAATATACACATGCCATAAAATTCTTTAGTAATGTGAAAATAGAAGTGCTATGTAATGTGCGTAAGCTTTTGATTGCTCTTATGATGAAGACATACATTGGAGCTTTATTTAAAGGATCTTCTTACACACTCGAGTGAAGTGGAGGTAGAAGCATAAGTCAAAGAAAATTATATGTAGGGTTTCCGTAACACCCAAAAGGTCCACAATGAGTAAAACAAACTTTCACCTTATCAAATACCCCGATTGTCACTATTAGTTTTTTTTTCCTTCATCATAAGAAAAAAAGAAAACAAACTATTTTTTCAACTTAAGGAAACAAACTAATTTCTGTTAAAAACATTTAGAAATATTTACAAACAGATCACTCAATTCTTGAGTAAAACAAACTTTCACCTTATCAAAAGAATATTTCTGACCAAATGCCTCAATTATTAATATTAGTTTTTTTTTTCTTTATCATAAGAAAAAAAAGAAAATTATTTTTTTAACTTAAGAAAACAAATTAGTTTGTTTTGAAAACATTAAGAAATATTTACATACAGATTAATCAATTCTTATGAATTTGCAAATCTAACACATAAACTTCAATTTCTTTACAGATATGTCACCTTACCAATGCATGAAAGGTGTTCAATTTCAAAAAGAGTAAAGTGCCAAAATAATCCCCAACTATTTACATGGGACCATTTTAGTTCCAAGAGTTTATACAAGTATCAAATGCAATTGTCTAATAGTCCCCATACTCTTTAAATTGGGGCTGAAATAATCACCATTGAAGATTATTAGAACTCAATTTTAAAATAGTCGAAACAGATTTTGCACTTCTATGAACTCCGGAATGAAAATGGCCCTATGTAAATAGTCGGGGGCTATTTTGGCACTTTATTCATTTTAAAAAGATAAAATAGTGGTATTTTTTACATGATATGAAAGATTTGGGTGGTTTAAATGTAAAAAAAAGGTTTGTGTTGGATCAAAAAAACCATAAGAATTGGGAGGTATGTATGAAAATACCCTGAACATTAAAACCAAGTTTGAGGAGCTCAATACTAGATTTTTCTTTTTTTTGTTCATTATAAACAAAATAGATAACACAACAGTTTTTTTGGCATTTTAAAAAAATAAGTTGTTTTAATAGAAATTTTTTAGATGCTTTTAATATTTTAAAAAAAAATTCCTCAACCCACTCCTAACTATGCCAACTCCAACAACCACATCTTCCTCCAAAAGCAACTACAAAAATTGCTAAAGCCAACTTTTCATTTTCATCTCCAGCCTACTACACCTCAAAATGTCCACAATCACCTCCCTTTAAGATGTTGAAAGGTACTAGTTTGGCGACAAAAACAATGCTCCAACAATTTAATGGCTAGCCTCAAATGTCAAAACTCTAACCATGGATTTAAACAACAAGCCTACTGCCGCATAAAATGGAGGACTCAAGAGATAAATTTGCAGGACACCAACAACAGTTCTTGTTGGAGACGGGAAAAAAATAGTGGGATATGGAGGACCTACACTAGAAATGGTCATAAAGAGTAACCAATGGATTTAATGCATAGCCGATAGATGTTGCAATCAAAGTAGTCCTTCCTTGATGGAAAGTTTACAAAGCCATTGCTGATGATTTTCATTGATAGTTGTGTTGTGCTAAAATGATGATTTGACGATGAAAAAAGTAAACAAAACATTTTTTTTAATTTGTTTAAAATAACAAATGCATAAAAAATGAAACATGAATTTATTTCACATTAGAACATAAATAACATAAAAATAAAATAAACTAAGATAGCTTATATTAAATAGTAAGCATAAAATTAAACCAAAAAAATGATACCCATAAAAATGAAACAAAAAAAGGATAACAGAATCAATTATGCACAACAAAAAATATTTGAAAAGAAAGCAAACGAAAAAAGTGGCTATCTTAGAAAGAACAATCTGAATTTCAATAAAATGAGATCCAACATCCTAATGAAATCATGTCTAGCCACACTAATTAGAATGCAATTGTCTGGTCCTTACTTTACACAAAAATGGATTATATAATATTGAAAATTTACAACATACATTGTCATGAAATAATAAATATAATACGCCACAATAATTTGATTTATAGATGAGATAATTTGTCAAATATATGATATGGGGAATATAACAAAAAGCAGCAAAAAGCCTATTTATAATGTTTCATGAACCATATGTTAATTGTTAAGAACATTACATCGAATAACAATGGAATTAACAAAAAGCAGCAAAAAGCCTATTTATAATGTTTCATGAACCATATGTTAATTGTTAAGAACATTACATCGAATAACAATGGAATTAATCACTCAGTTTAAATAAAAGTTTTGCTGGATTCATCAATTTTGCATAAGTATTTTTTTGGGTGCTTGGTGAAAAATAAAACAAATTATTGCTTAGGGCCCCAAATTTTGTTCAAATCAAAAGTTACAACCTTACAAACATTAGGCTGCCTCACCACAGGAATGCATGCTCACTCACTCTCTAATTCAATTTCTCTCTCAAAATTTTACGAGAAAACAGGAAAAAAAATTACTTCACTTGCAATTGCTTGCACAACCAAACTAGAAAGAAAAAAAATGCTTCACTTGCAATTGGTTTACATCCGCATTCATTTACATCCAACCAAATAGTTCAAAGTAAACTAAATACAATGCATTTATTTTACATTCCATTTTCAAAAAGCATCCACTCTCAATGCATGCAACCAGACAGGCACTGAAAAAGAACCAAATTGCAGGGACAAAAGACTCATTACTTTGCTTTTTTATAAATCAAGTTAGATGATATATCATATATAATCATTCATACAAGGAACCTACCAATTTCCAATTGATTTTTACAGTCCAATGTAAAATAATTGATACTGATTAACCATTTAAAATGAATATAATTGCTAATAACGCAAATAGCACATGTGTCCAAAGTATGGAGTGGCACAATCTATGTAGACGGTGTGATGTGAGGTGCAAGTTAGCTTCCTACAAAGAACAAAGACAACACCAATTTTCCCTTCATCAACAAAAATGATATTTTTTTAGCATCATGATGCGCCTACCTTTTTCCATGGAAGCACAATTATCTCTCTAGCTTGCATTGAAGTCTGCTTTAAAACCGGTTACTTTACTATTTTCTATTCTTTAAGGAAGGTTTTTTCTAATTATTATTTTGAGACTCTTTCCTATTTTTTGGTTTGGTTATTGAAATCATCTCTAACGTCACCTTACAAAATTGATGCCACCGGGCACTTTTGGCATATCACCTAACAAGAACCACAATCCCCTTTCCATTGATATGTTTTGACTATTGTTTTTTTTTAATGGTTGTTTATCTGTTTGTTTGATTTCTAATGTTAGTCATGTGGCCGCAGAATGATTGCTACCACTGACCACTGAGAAAGAGGTTTCTTAGGAGTGTAGGCAGTTTAGTTTGCCTTCATTTCATTTAGGCTTCACTTAAGGCTTCTAAATTTTAGAAATATTGTGATGTCAGAATATGCTATAAAGTTAAAAGTTTAACTTTATTGTGATTTAATCTTAGAAACAATTAGTATGGAAACAAATTCATCAATTTTTTTTCAAATCGCGCTCCTTTTTTTTCATTGGATGAGAACAATCATTGAATTTCATCTATCAATTCCACAAACATGAATGTTTAAAAGTTGGCCTTATTTTTTCTTGCATCAACTTATTTCAGCTAACAAATTTAATAAAAGCAAACAACAAAAATAATAGCCCCTAATAAATACTACACTATCTCTCAGACAGGCTACTTATCAAAAGTATGAATAGTACCCAGGATACAAAATCCTGATGAAGTTCAACTTTCTGAATCACATTATCCGTGCAATGAGAATGCAATGCCTGGCACTAAAATATAAAATTAAGAGATCCAAACACTGTGAAATCAACAAATAAAATCAACTGATCATGCAAACACTTCTGAAAGCACCTTGAAATGAACCCTGAGGTCCCGCCCCATCGCCTTCGTAGCTGCAAAAGAGAACGAAAAATCAGATTACATTGTGCCAGGAATGAAGAAAACAGCCTAAGGATACGCAAAGATCTATTATTCACTACCAATAATAGCGAAGATTGCTTACACTTGGTAGGGTTGGATGGCTCTTTCGAGTATTTCACCTGCTCATGAGAAATAGAAGGATGGACGAATGGTTAGCACGAATTATCAGGTAAATAAAACAATGAAACGAGAGGAGAAACTTCGACCATGATGCCTGGTTGCAGAGGTCTCCGTCGAGCGGAAGGGTTGGTGCCGCAGCCTCCGATTTTTCTTGCTCTCCGCTGGCCAACGGCGGATCACGAAATGGAGGATTTTATATAGAAACCTTGAAACGAAACCCTAAATCGATGAGCAAACGACCCCATCCCTAAATAGAATATTGTATCTATGCTTCCCGGCTCCAATCAAATTATATAATCTACTGTCTCACTGAATAAAAAATAAAACCTGTTATATTTTATGCATGATCTGACTTGCCATATCCATTTTTTTTAAAACAAAATCAATCACATCGAATAAATTTCTTTTTTTTTTCTCTCGTTGAACTAAAAATATTGATGATAGAATCGAAAAAAAACAGTTAAAATTTAAAATAGAGGAGATAAAATCTGAAAATAATGATGAGATGTTTGAAATAAAGATGATGGATTCTCAAAATATTAGTGAAAAGTTTGAAACGGATACGAGTTTAGTTGTGCTTGAAATATGGACATTAATTTATGAATCTGAAAATAATGATGAGATGTTTGAAATAAAGATAATGGATTCTCAAAATATTGATGAAAAGTTTGAAACGGTACGAGTTTAGTTGTGCTTGAAATATCGACATTAATTTATGGCATTATTGTGGTATTTATGTGATGTTATTGGGGTAATTTTGTGATGTTATTGAAGTGTTTTTTAAGTGTATTATTATAGCGTTATTGTGGTATTTTTGTTGTGTTATTGGGGTATTAGTGTGATATTATTGTGGTGTTATTTGAATGGTATTGTGACGGTTTTGTGTGGTATTCGACTAGTGCTATTGGTGTGCTATTATGGTGATTTTGTTATTAATGTGGTGTTATTTATGTGTTATTGTTGTATATTTGTGATATTATTCAGATGTTATTGCAGTGTTATTATTGTGTCATTTTGACATTTTTGTGATGTTAATGAGGTATATTTGTGATATTATTATGATGTTATTGCGGTATTTTTGTGGTGTTATTGAGGTGTTATCAAGATGTTATTGTGGTATTATTTGAGAGATATTTTGACGGTTCTATGGTCTTATTCGAATGGTGTTATTACGATGTTATTATTGTGTTATTGCATTATTATTGTGGTGTTATTTAGATTTTATTGAGGTGTTATTGTAGTGTTATTGTTGTATTATTATGGTGTTATTGTGATATTTTTTTCGTATTATTGTAATGCTACTGAGGTATTATTGCGGTGTTACCGGTGTATTATTGTGTAATTTGACTGGTATTGTTATGACTCTGTGGTGGTATTCAGCTAGTTTTATTGGAGTGTTATTATAATTTTATGATGATATTTTTGTGGTGTTATTGATATGTTATTGCGGTGTTATTATGTTGTTATTTTCGATATTTTTGTAGTGTTAGTGAGGGGTTATTCGATTGTTGTTTTTGTGAATTTTTTTTGTTTTTATTTTTATTTTTATTATTTTCATGTTAAAGGAAGAATGCATTAGAGTCATGAACCAAGCATCTTGACATCCAAGTGGTAATAATTGATTTTTCATTGTTATTAAATTTATTTTCGTTGGTAGAGATTTGTTCAAAAACATTTAGGAAATTGAAGAGTTACCAATTCTACAATTAAATACACATAAAGCTAAGTTAGTACTAATTTAAATCCCATCTCATCTCTTGCTAGATCAGAGTTCAATGAAATATAAAGGCTTAATTTACAAAGAAATATTCAAAGTAACCTGAATATTGTATTTAAAACAAAAAATTAGTGCAATATTCTCATGAAATTTAATCATAATTAGTTAATTTTATGCATATTAAATTTACTTATAAAAAATGGTTGATAACAAATCTTTAAAGACTCAAATAAAAAAACAAAAAAAAACATTCATGCAATTGCATTTCATTGTTAAATAAATATTATTTTTCTCACAATCAATTTTGCAAGAGAAAAAAAATACATAAGGGGTGAGTGTATTTGTACTTTGAGAGGGGAATTTGAGAGAATTTGTAAGGGTTTTGCTTCAGCATCGTGTGGAGCATTATGGAAGACTTTGTCCATGGAATTTGCTACTCATTACAAAGAGAAAAAGCCAAGTATCGAGTTTAGTATTGTTTGATTTATGTTGTAAACACATTTGATGAAATTGCTTGGATTAACTGAAGTTTTCTATTGTGTTCAACATGTATAGTGAGTATATTTCTTATACTTTTCTCTTGTGATTGTTATGTTAGATCTGCAGGATCATTAATGTTATGGAATTTATTTTATTGGTTAATGTGATGAGTATTCTTCTAGGCTAATTTACATTTTTTACTGGTCATACAACTTGTTAAACTCAGTTGTGACCCATTAGGACTCGAGAGAGTAATGACGAAACAACATAGAATATTCACATTGTTCAAATGGCTATGGTGAAGTAGTCATAAGGCACTGCAATTTAGAGAGATGTGTTTTGATAGAGTTTGAATGAGGAGTTTCTAGGGTGACAACTCGAAACAAGAGCCAAATTTTGAATCATACTTATTTATGCACTCGAAAGAGGGTAAATGAGTCTTATGCTCCTTTTATCACCGTAACATCACAATTCTTATTAGTAATACCTATAAACTACCTAGTAATTCACAAAAGAAAAGTACTTTTAACAATCTTTAATTTGGCACAAAAATGTAACTTAGGATTAATTATTTAAAAAACCACCTTTAACGATATTCCAAACTAAGACCTTAAAGTAGTAAACTAGAACTTTGTCTTAGGAATTATCTACCTCCCCTTCCCTGTGAGATCAACATTCCAGACTTAATAGAGTCTTATATTATTAAAACGACATGTATACTTGTGTTAGAAACTCTAGTGAGTAATAATACCTAATTTTAAGAGCTCAATCAATTTTTTAGGGAGCAGATCAAATTTCTAGTGCCTTTACCAAGACTTATTAAAATTGTGATATTCCGTAGGGTTGTCAAGTTTCTGGTGCCGCTGCCGGGGAAGGAAATGACAGTAAGAAAAACTTAAAGAGAATTTTAGTTGAATCTGTACGACTTAGATTTGGAAATTGTGGTGTGATTATTCTCATTTTTCTCCACAATTCAATTTTACACACTTAGGATACTACGCAAGTGCACATATCATTCAAGTAAAATAGAGCTTTCTGTCAAAAACCTCGAGTATTGATCCTATGAGAAAAGGTGTTAATTCGTAACGACTTCGGTAAAATTTCTAGTCTACAATAACTCATCTTAGCTGAAATTTCCCAAAAGTTTGATTTTCCTAAATTCACTAC